GCCGCTATTTTGCTACTAAGTTCTAATAGGCCGATCTCACTTAAAATTGGTCTAGGAATGATCAGCTCATGGTCCTGACAAAGTTAAGTTAACATTATACTATTTTTTACTCAAATTGGTACATATTTCAACAACAAAAATAAATATTGTAGACTCAGGTGACCGTTAAGGCCCATGGGCCTCTTGTCATATTTATGTTTCATGAATGAAAGTTTTAATCAAACAAAAACGGACATTTTACAAGGTAATTCCACCCAGTTTGTTACATAAATTGCTTGGCTAAGTCTGTTTCCTTTGAAAACAATTCAAACCAAAATCATACTATATACCAGGGGTGTAAAAATCCACTTGCCCGATGCCCCGAATAACCAGTTTTCAGATCCGAGTAAGCGCAATTAATTGACTGACCGACCTGAGCAAGTACGTTTTTTTACCAGCATCTTTTGTAACAAATGTAGTAAAATCTGTTTTGCACCATGTTCACAAATACTGATGTCTTGTTTTGTTGATTTTATGATTCCAAAAAGATTTGAAATGCAACGAGAACTGTCGGACGTTCGGTGGCCAACATAAAATGTTGGCACTCCATATTACCTGGTGCAAGGGGAATAACTCAATTGCTATTATATTAATGATAATCAGATGACCGCAATTGTTTTGTATCATAATGTTATCGCTAATTCCGTGGTTATATCTGCCATATCATACGATCATTATAGCTTTCATCTTAACATTACCTGGTAGGTTTGTGTAAATCTCATGAAAAATTATGTAAAAAGTCATCAAATTGTGTTTGTCACTTTGTGACACTGTGTGCATAGACAGGTGTGTGCAGAAATGTCCTCGCGTTCAGTGTAGCGTTTGTCGCTGGTATTTAAAAGAAAATATTTCATAATATATGCACATTATATCAAGCTATTTTATTAGGTCACCTGAGCTTTAGCTCAAGTGACCTATTGCTATCCGTTTTCGTCCGTCGTCGTCCGTCGTCCGTCGTCCGTTAACATTTTACATTTCAAACTTAAAGTCAAGTTCTGCTGGGCCGATTGAACTGAAAGTTGGTAGGAATGATCGCCTCATGGTCCTGACAAAGTGTTGTTATTTTTCGGGTCGATCAGAAATCCAATATGGCCGCCACGGCCGCCATTTTGAAAAACTATTTCAAACTTAAAGTCAAGTTCTGCTAGGCCGATTGAACTGAAACTTTGTAGGAATGATCAGCTCATGGTCCTGACAAAGTGTTGTTATTTTTCGGGTCAATCAGAAATACAATTTGGCTGCCATGGCCGCTATTTTGCTACTAAATTCTAATAGGCCGATCTCACTTAAAATTGGTCTTGGAATGATCAGCTCATGGTCCTGACAAAGTTAAGTTAACATTATACTATTTTTTACTCAAATTGGTACATATTTCAACAAAAAAATTAAATACTGTAGACTCAGGTGACCGTTAAGGCCCATGGGCCTCTTGTTACTGTTAACAGATTAAACTCATTATGAAAATAAATCATGAATAATGATAAAAAAGGGTGAAAAGTAGGCAAGTAGAAATTCAGCTCAGGCAAGTGGATATTTGGTGTCCACTTGCCCCAGGCAAGTGACCTGGGAAAAAAATTAACACCCCTGTATACAAGTTATGATTATGAGGAATGGAAAGAAAACCAGGCTGTAAAAACTCACTCGATTAGTTTAACTTAACTTTAAAATTGTTTTTACCTCATTAATACTAGCACACATAGGTTTGTACACTTACACCCCCCACTTAGTTGAGGGGATATATAGCATTTTGTTAGTATCTTTGCGTCTGTCTGTAATAAGGTCAGGTACAAAATATCTTGGCTATTATTAGTCAAAAAGGGTTTAAAAGGATCAAAGGTGACATTTGACCACTTTTGAAGCCAATTTCCTGTGTATACAGTAATCTGGGGACATATACTAGTAGTTAGCACCTGATAAGGCAGCTCCTGCGAATTCCTCAAAATTGTATTGATTAATGTATGTACGTATATGCTAATTGTATTAATTGTTTATCTATGTTCTGTAAAGCATTTTAGAGTGGCTTATGTTAGCTAGATAGGGGGCTATATCAAATGTTGTTTATAATAATAATATAAATCTAATGAGACTAATTTGTCCATATTTGCTATATAGAAATGTGATAAACCTGTGTGTCTTCCATCTAAGTAATTAAGTAGATAGAGAGGTTGTCAGTTGTATATGATATGTCGACATATAGTGTGTAATTAGTCTGTTTATCTGAAAGGTTTCCACCAGCCGCAGCTTCTTATATCCTTCAGCAGTTTTCTCAGTATGGCAACATTTTAAAACACGTGGTGAGTACAAGTTATCTCCCTTCTTACCACACACAGCAGTCCACAGCAGAGTGATAGTAATATCCTCATACCTGGTAGGGGGTACATACTGGTCACCTTGTTTGTGTCCACACCTTGTCCAGTCTCTTACTTTGTATAATGGTTTTGGTTTGGTAACTTCCTAGGCCTATGTTTATAAGATAGCATGTCCTGTGTTGCACCCTAAGGTCTGTACCCCAAAGATCAAGATTGTAGAATAGGGTGAGACCGGTCAGTCATCAAACCTTTTTTATTTTTCTGGGGAAAAAACAAGAAAATAAAAGTTTCTCTTGAATCTGAACACTTGACGATAGGAAATGAAAACCTCCATCTTCTGCCAGTTAGCTAAACCTTTTGTTTTCCATGATTGATCTGGGGGATGAACTAAACAATCTGTAATATTGATAAATAGTTAAATGTCGGTGATCTACCAGGTGTCTGATAGTTAAATGTCCTTGATAACTGATTGTGTTTGACCTTGAAGATTTGGCAGTTCATGAACAGTTGCTAAACTAATCAACAAAACCATGTACTGTTGATTTATAAAATATTTAGGTGGCCTCAGAAGGCAATTGGATGCACCTCCACTACCAGTCCAAGCTGCAGGCAAAGAAGGCCCTGAGTAAGAACGGTAAAGTGTTCGGCGGATGTATGATGGTCGGCGCTACACCCTGTATAGAAAAAGTGAGTATCCATTTGAAATAATTCTTTACAGTACATATTATTGTTCCATAATTAAGATATATGAGGACTGGAAATTGAGATTGTCTCCTTCATGAAAAATGATGTTAATGTAAATCTCAGCTATGTTCACACTTCAATACTAAAAAAAACAAATAGTTCTGGGAAAATTTTGGAATACTTTTGCTCTGAAAACATTTTTGTTATTGTTTATAAAGTTATATCATCATTCGAAGTGGCACTTTTCTATTGATAAAACTTGAATGATTTAAATGTAAACGTTTTCTTCTTTTGAGTTGTATATGCTTTCGATTTACATTTTCAAGTAAATAAAATATTCTGTAAGATTGATGAAAAATCGTTCTCATAATTGCTTATAATAATTTTGATTATAGAATTAAATATTTAGTTTTTCATATCTGTAAGACTTACAGATTATCACACTGTTTTCAGGGTTTGTTGTGAAAACAATTTTCTCATTCCAAGCATGTGGATAAAATCAATCGAGAGGCCATAATAATATTTTTAAAATAATATTATCGTCATTGGCTTCTCCATATGCTTAAAATGATATTGTTATCCTGACAATATTTTATCGTAATTTTATATTTATTTGTTTATGACAGACTATTTTGTGATGCAGATCACCTTTGTGTGTATAATATTTCTGGTTCAGAACGATACCTGTTGCGAGCAGACATTCTTTTCTGGGATAATCCCTCTTCTTAAGTATTCTCATACTGACAACCCATGATAATGAATTTATTATGATACTGGTAGATGGTATAAAGTAGTATCATTATGATAATACCTAATTCTTTACTAGAAAAGCTGATACAAAGATANGTTGCTAAACTAATCAACAAAACCATGTACTGTTGATTTATAAAATATTTAGGTGGCCTCAGAAGGCAATTGGATGCACCTCCACTACCAGTCCAAGCTGCAGGCAAAGAAGGCCCTGAGTAAGAACGGTAAAGTGTTCGGCGGATGTATGATGGTCGGCGCTACACCCTGTATAGAAAAAGTGAGTATCCATTTGAAATAATTCTTTACAGTACATATTATTGTTCCATAATTAAGATATATGAGGACTGGAAATTGAGATTGTCTCCTTCATGAAAAATGATGTTAATGTAAATCTCAGCTATGTTCACACTTCAATACTAAAAAAAACAAATAGTTCTGGGAAAATTTTGGAATACTTTTGCTCTGAAAACATTTTTGTTATTGTTTATAAAGTTATATCATCATTCGAAGTGGCACTTTTCTATTGATAAAACTTGAATGATTTAAATGTAAACGTTTTCTTCTTTTGAGTTGTATATGCTTTCGATTTACATTTTCAAGTAAATAAAATATTCTGTAAGATTGATGAAAAATCGTTCTCATAATTGCTTATAATAATTTTGATTATAGAATTAAATATTTAGTTTTTCATATCTGTAAGACTTACAGATTATCACACTGTTTTCAGGGTTTGTTGTGAAAACAATTTTCTCATTCCAAGCATGTGGATAAAATCAATCGAGAGGCCATAATAATATTTTTAAAATAATATTATCGTCATTGGCTTCTCCATATGCTTAAAATGATATTGTTATCCTGACAATATTTTATCGTAATTTTATATTTATTTGTTTATGACAGACTATTTTGTGATGCAGATCACCTTTGTGTGTATAATATTTCTGGTTCAGAACGATGCCTGTTGCGAGCAGACATTCTTTTCTGGGATAATCCCTCTTCTTAAGTATTCTCATACTGACAACCCATGATAATGAATTTATTATGATACTGGTAGATGGTATAAAGTAGTATCATTATGATAATACCTAATTCTTTACTAGAAAAGCTGATACAAAGATATCTGTACAACTTAACACTATGTATAACTGATACAGTGATGTCTGTACAACTTACAGTTAGAATTACGCCCAAGTATCCACCTAGGTTCAGTTCGTTCTGCGTGCGGCTTGCGTGCGGTTAGCGGTAGTCCAGCGTCTAGAAAGCGATCGTTCACCGTTCGAGCACCGTTCGTATGTTTCGTCTGTTTCGTTCGTATCAGCTAAATTGTTCCGTTTGGTTACTTCGACCGTCCCTATCGTCCAAGTATTTCATTGGGTCGTTTAGTCCGGCTGTTCCGTCCGGCTGTTTAGTTCAATCGTCTACTCCGTCTTTTTGGGTTAGGATGCGCAAGCAGTTTATCAATTCATTTAGGCAAATGGTAGAACTGCAAAAGATCTCACGCTTATCTCCAGAATTACGAACCTCAATTATCAGATACAGTGACAAAGGCTACGCTATTAGAAAGATTATTCGTTGTCAAGCACATGCGCGCGCCGAATTGCGTATTTACGGTATTTATAGGAACTCTTCAATGCGGGAAACCACGTTGTCGGTAAACATAAAAACAAAATGGAGAAAAGGAAGTGTACAGAGTATATTGTGCGAATTTAACTGGATTTCGGATTACGAAGTTGTTTTCGGAGCAAGAAATGGTCAACAATTAAAGCCTGCTGTTCCAANGCATAAATAAGGATCCATGGAATCTCATCCCAGAGTGTGTCAAACAAGTCAAAATTGAACTACATCTCCTAAATTCCTGCAAATAGAAAACTCTTCTATGGACACTAAGCTGTGATAGTTACTCAGTAAAATATGTTCAAGGTTATATAACTAACATGTACATGTTACCTTGCTGAACACCAGAATAATATTGATTATAATTTGTCGTTTTAGTGGCTAAGTGAGTTTGGATAGGAATATCTGTATCGATGAGCAGTATTTAAAATTATATACCTGGTAACTGGATAGTTTAAAGCGCAGTATATACCCTCAGAAAACCCTTTCCAGATGAAATTCACTAGATTTTTATCTAACCTCTGCCAGGCCCAGGATGTTGATATTTTGGTGGTAAAATCTTGAGATGAATGACCTTGACTTATATTCAAGTTGCAATAAACAGGAGGCCTAGGGTGGTGTTATTAAGCAATTAACACGCTAGAACGAGGGGATGTTATGTATGTGAAATTGAATGACACAAGGTCACAGGTCAAATGTGTAAAATCCTTTAACATAAATGACTATTTCTGAATATCAGGGAAATCTTTGGTGTTGATATTTAGCCAATAACATGCTGGGATAAAGGGTTCTAAAATATATTCAAATGCTCTTGAATGACCTTGACTCAATTTTAGAGTATATGTTAATTTCAGGGTCATATAATATTATGTTTAAATTTGTTAAAACATTTAATTGACTTCTGAATAATAAAAGGGGCTGGCTGAAGTTCATGACATTTTGTGATGTAGGTTTAAGGTTTAAATCAATATGATGTGTTTGAAGTGACTAAATGGCTATAACAACCAGCTTAGTTCAGATAAAAAAAA